TCATCCTAAGGGCGATGATGAGGCAATGCCACTAGAAGAATGTGGCAACATGGTCATCATGGCCTTGGCATATGCGCAGAAGGCGAGCGACACGGATTACCTGTCTCAGCATTATACCTTGCTCAACCAGTGGACGGCATACCTTGTGGAGGATGCTATCTACCCTGCCAACCAAATCTCGACGGATGACTTTGCAGGCAGCTTAGCGTATGTGCAGAACCCCGCTTATGTGATATTAGATGCTAACAACAGGTGTAGAAACCAGACCAACTTGGCCTTGAAGGGCATCATCGGTATCGAAGCCATGGCTGTCATTAGCAATGAGACTGATCACACTGATAACGGGGCCAACTACACTGCCATTGCTCACAACTACATCGACAGATGGCAGATCCTGGGCGTCGCGCACGATGCCAACCCTCCTCATGCTACACTTGCTTATGGCTCCAACAACACCCACGGTATGTTCCACCTCAATAATGCCAGACTACGTATACTGACAGTTCACTAGGTCTCCTGTACAACCTTTATGCCGATCGGGAGCTGGGACTGAACTTGGTCCCGCAATCTATCTACGACATGCAGAGCACCTTCTACCCCACTGTCCAGCTAGAGTACGGAGTACCGCTTGACACCCGACACAACTACACAAAGGGTAAGCTTGACACAGCTCTACTATGGTGTTCACTTAATTAACCTGTTCTACTAGCCGACTGGGAAATGTTCACTGCGGCCATCGCATCAACCAGCACTAGAGACATGTTCACGCAGCTTCTCTCGAAATGGATCAACGACACGCCCACAAACTACGCAATGACTGATCTCTACGATGCAGTTGGCGGAGGGTAAGCAAAAGCCAGAAACCACTTCGACTTCAATCAGCTGACCTCTTAATAATAGATACCCATCCAACGTCTTCATCGACCGCCCCGTCGTGGGCGGTGCCTTTGCCCTGCTTCTACTCAACCAAGGCAATTAAACCACTTCTCTCGTTTCATTCCGACTCATCCTTGCAACTGTGCATAATATCCCCCTGCTTGGTTCAGTGGAACCGTTCCATTTTTCTTCTTCAGCATCCGATGTGCAGGTCACTCGTTACACATTTATATTGAGCTCTTTATTGTTATTATTGTTATATATTGCTTAAGCAGGGATATTGCCCCCTCCCCGTCTTCTTGTCACTGTCGTTCAGACTTCCTCTACTATGGATATTACGGGGAGAGGGGGGTTTACAGTGAATGCATAGGGCATCGTCGAGTACATGATTATCTTCCTAGGAAGCTGCAAATATTACTTAATTATCTTTCCTACTTGACTCTTACCGTGTAACCTCAGATCGGTAGACAAACACATAGTTAACTGCATTTGACTAATATGGAGCTATTCATGGAAATAGATCTGGACTTCATTGACCTCCAGGAAAGACATGAACTTTTGGCGCAAGACACCACATAATCCATAACCATCATTCATCCATACCCATACCTATACCAAGCCTGAAGTATCCTATACCGCAAGTAACTAAACTCACAGCACATCATGAGCAAGTTCATCATCATCATCCGCAACAGCAGCATCCATAACAGACGAATCATCCCATCCGTCGAAAGAGCGAATAAGATCTATAACACAAGTCAGTTAACCCACCCACTCATTACAAATATACCCATAAGAAGAAAAAGGGATACACATACCATAATAGAGCATCATCGCCTCCAGATGAATATCAATATCGATCCTCTCATCCACAGTATGGATATTCAGCGCTTTACCCGCTCTCGACGGACTCCATCTATAAATATTCCTCGACAAGGGCCAGTAGAATCTCGTATCGGTATTTCCAGTCATGATGTCTCCGCTGACGACGACCTTCCTGCCCTCGAGACTCGGGACAGACTCGAACACAGAGCGAGTGACGCCCGAGAACCGGGCCCAGACGGCGTCGGTGTCGGTGTCCGTTGGACTGACTGGGGCGGGGCTGAGCGCGCCGCTGAGGGTAGTGAGGGTGAGGTGGTTGTTGAGGGCAGGGTCGACGGTATCGCTTTCGGGGAAGGCCGTGAGGGAGAGGTTATATTTCTTCACGATGGGGGAGATGATATCCACAGCGCGGTTCTTGATATCATCTGGGGTTTGGTGCAGCGCGATACGGTAGTTGACGAGGGCGCTGATTTTCTCGGGGAGAGCGTTGGATTTGACGCCGCCGTTGATGATGTCTGCTGCTTGGGAGGTTTGGAGGATGAAGCGGAACTTGTCGCCGCGGGAGGAGGCCAGTTTCTCTGCGAGAGAGACGTAGTCGCTGGATTGGAGGGCGGAGGCGAGCCAGGGCTCGACTTGTGAGGGGGAGTGGCGGACTTGGCATTCGAGCATTTTGCGGGTGGGGTGGTGGGTGTCGAGGACGGGGACGAAGAGGTCCTGGCGTTCGAGTTCGTAGATGATCTCGGAGATGATGCCGATTCCTGTGTGTGGAGGGGGCACGGAGCTGTGGCCGCCTGGGACGGCGAGGGTGAGGACTACGTCGATGCTGCCCTTTTCGCCGACGCCCGGGAGGGCGTAGACGATGCCGTTGGAGGTGTCGTCGAGGACTTCGAGGCCCATGCCGCCTTCGTCGAGGATGAAGGCGAAGCTGTCTGGGCCGTATTTCTTCTCGAGGAATTTGGCGATGGATCCGGCGCCGAGGAAGCCGTGGGATTCTTCGTCGAAGCCGAAGGCGAGGACGACGGTGCGGGTTGGATTCCAGTTCTGGGAGAGTAGGTCTTCGACGACGGACATCAGTCCGATCAGGACGTTCTTGCAGTCGCTGGCGCCGCGGCCCCAGAGCCATTCGCCGTCGAAGTGGCCATCGAAGGGGGGGTAGGTCCAGTCGGCGGGGTCGTTGATGGGCACGACGTCCTGGTGCGCGGTGAAGAGCAGGGGTTTGAGACTGTCGTCTGTGCCATTGAGGGTGAAGACGAGACCGAATCGATTGATGTGATCTACGCGGGCGTAGGAGTGGCTGGATTGTGTTAGATGGAGTTGTGTGTGGATGGGGACTGCGGACGTACGTGAGGGGGAAGAGGGTCTTTAGGAGGTTCTGGAAGTCGAGGAATGGGGCGAACTTCTCGTCGTAGGGGTCCTTCATGTAGTCGTCGATCGCAGTTGGGACCTGGACGGCCCTGGAGAGACGATTGACTTGGCGCGACTTGAACGAGGCATCTTCTACGAACTTGAGAGCTGGGAAGAATCCGTCGTCAGGGACCTCAACCTTGGGTGCTAGCGGACAGAAGCCGTCGGTGTGCTCTCCGAAAGTAAGAGAATCGAGGATTTGCTGCGGGGAAGGGATGCTGAGGGCTGCAATTGAAGGGGCAAGCAGCCCTGCGACAAGGGGAAGCAATTGGAACTTGGACATCTTCAATTCCATTCCTGGGGCACTTTCTGCAGAAGATAGGAACCCTGGGGGAATCCGAGGATAATAATGAGGAGAAGGGCAAGGCCGAGGCTACGTCAAAGCATGGGGTTATCTTATCGCAGAGTTGCGCAATCATTGCCGTGATAGCCATTCCCCTCTCCGTATCGCTCGGGTTGATAAGTTTGCCGGTCGGAGAGCGGACGGAACCGCTCAGTTGGGGAAAGAATTGCCATAGCAGGAAGGTCGAGGCAGGCGAGATGAAAGTGCGGTAAGTAAGCTTGAGTGGGATGATAGCATGCAGTAACGGGTTCTGTGATGCAGTGGATTTGGGTATATAGCGGAGAGCTGAATGAAGGCATTGGAATTGAGTTGCAATGGCAGTGACACTAAGTCCACTCATTGATAGGCCAGCAAGACCTCAACATTGGATTATTTTCCACCACAATGTCAATCAATGAAATCAATGAACTTTCAGCATAGCATCGGCCGAACCCGTCCAGCAGCGATCTCTCCTGCGTAAAGGTGACAAATCAAGGGATGCAATGTTAGTCATTAGTCTCACAAGGATTGCCAATAGCAACACCCCTTTCGTTTACTTGTTGCATAGTATCGTCGGTCGGCAACATTGGCCGTCAACATTGACTGGCGGATTTCACCAGTCCGGGACTTCCCCCTGCCATTGTAGGGGATCGTATCAATTGTCAAACATGAGAATTGTTCGTCACAGCAGCCTTGGCCATGAGGCTGTCTGCAACAAATTCTGCAGACGTCAGTGCATCTCCGTGGCGCGATCAAGCTTGTGGATGATCGGCGCTTAACATGGCCGGTGATTTATGCGGGAGATTCGAACACTGACAGAAGCAAATTAGCGGAGTGGCTGACGCTACAGCAGAGCGAGTGCGACTAAGTAAGAACTATAAGAATGTCGAGGGAGACGAGGAAGAGTGAGGCCCAAAAGGGGGAGAATTGGGAATATCAGGTGCCAGTCTCGTGATCGGCACCAATCGAGGCGGAAAAAGTACAATGCAGCTTCAACATGGCTCCCTTTTAATCCATTTCTCCATTCTGCCTGCCAACTCTGCCTTCCGACTTTGGTTCCATGGGTCAGGAACAAAACAAACAACAAGCGAGCATCCACCACTGAAGATGCTAAGAATACTATCTAGGTAGCCCCAGTCCGACCAAGACACAGCCTCATCTAACAAATAAAATTTGTCGCAGACCATGAACGTCATCCTCCTCTCCACAGGGGCTCCCCAGCCTGACGACATCCACAGGGCCAAAAGAGTCTGACAATCGATAGTCGGCCGCGTGGTGGTCTCAGAAAGCAATAGTGCGACGATCGTTACATCACCGGAACAAACAACATCCCTCGCTCGGGTACCTGGCGAACGGTGTATCCGCATTGCGGAGGCTTGTAGCCACTCAAATGGGTCCTCCCAAGACCAACTCCGTCAACTCGACAGGAACAATGATGAAACATCGCCCCCAAGACAGCAAGGGATCGGCCATAACGCGCGGGACGTGGAGCCGAGCGAACCATTTTGGAATCCAGAGAATCAGATGGGCGTTCGTTCACGCGATCTTCAGATCGGCATTCTACTGCGTTTCACACGCCGATTTTTGTGTCAACTTCGGGTGTTCCAAAATCCCAAGGGGTTGGGTCGGGTGCCAACCCCATCCTGAACGATGGGATAATCGGATGGATCATATTTAGGTTATGCCTGCCAGTGAGTTTTGCTGATATCAGTGTTTCAGTTCGTTCTTTTATTACTTTCTCTCGTTTTCCCGCCGGTATATAACTACTCCTACATACATACTTACAAAATCCACTCTCGTTCAACAAAGAAATAACCAAAAAGGAAACAGCCTTATAACTTTCATTCTTTCATTGTCCTTCAAAATGCCTAAAGCCAGTGCCACCAAGATCACTTCCCTTTCAATCCTCTCCTTCCTTACTACTGCTTCTGCCTACACCACCTCAGGCTGCTACAGCAGTGCCGGCCAGCTAACGTCGGCGGGCACATATCAATTCCAATCCGAGGGCTACTGCCAGCAAATCTGCACGAAGCAAAACAAGCCCATCTTTGCCCTCCACAATGGCGACGAATGCTACTGCGGCGACTCCCTGCCTCCTTCAACAGCGAAGGTCTCTTCCACCCAATGCCAGACCCCTTGCTCGGGATTCCCTTCTGAAACTTGTACGTATACCTCCGTTACGCCCTCATATACTGCCTTCAACGATCATAGACTAATACATACTGCACTATAGGCGGCGGCGCCAATGCATGGCTAATCAACAACTCCACCACTGTCTCGGAGTCCACCACCGACGACAAACTTGTCACAGAACTGAAACGTGAATCCACCGACAACGTCGAGAACGGCATCGTGATTGCCCCAGAGTCTGATGACTCCGACTCGTCCTCGGGCAACTCCAACTCCTCCCCTGATACCATGAAAGTCAACCCTACCATGGTGGAGACCGATATCCCCATCGCCAGCTCCGCTGCAGACGGAGGCGCAGCCAAGTCTACTGTCCCGAGTGTGATCCTTACCGCGCCGTCCATGACGGGCGTCACTGTTCCAGCTACTGGCGCAGTAGCAGCATCGTCGATGGTTGTTGCTGTCTCGTCTGCTTCCGCGTCTGCAACTGCTACTGCGTCCGGAGCCGCGAGCAGTGGTTCCGCCGCGGCGAGCCCGTCAACCAGTGCAGGTGCTGCTGCTGCTATCGCTGGTGCTCCTGCTAATGGGATGATCGGGGGCGTGTTTATGGCGGCAGTTGTTGCGCTTGGACTGTAGATATCTCTTTCTACATTCCACATTCTATCTTTTGGAGTATAGTCATAGTTACTTCGATCCAAGAGGGGAAGCATTATCTTGTATAGATAGTTACGGATGTACGGTGTGGAAGCGGGGCTAGGCATTGATTGATATCAGGTATATACCTATAATAGGCTGGGAATAATCGCGGGTTCGATGCAACATGTACTTTTTGGTTTCTGCTGAGCAGTAAGCTAATTTCTTAGTGATAGTCACTTTCATTGTTTAAGATATCCCTATTTCTGTTACAATTTAGCTATACTATATTTCACTATTTCTTTCGAAACTCACTCCACAAATAACGCCATCGGCCCTAAACAATACCACAACTCATCTCCATCGGAGTTAATTACCCCATCAGATAAGAACTAAGCAGCAGTAGTCCGCAGGATCATCAACTACTGCCCATCGAGACTAGACAAAATACTCAATGTACCAACCATCTATCAACCCAGTAGATAGATACAGAATACGAGAGCACCGACGCCATACATAGGTAAAGTCGGTGAGTGAGAATCCCCGGCCCCCAATCCACAGCCCGTTCATTCGTCAACCCCTCCCCCACAACACTACCGATACGAAGATAATAGGTATCTGTCTGACCAGCCCTGCAATCCGCCCCCACTTTTTACCTGCAAGGCTCTGAAGAAAAAAATAAAAAGAAAATACTGGAAGGCCTGAACGTAGTCAATGACCAGTCATCTTGTAGGATTTTATGTATTCTGCACTTGCAGGCAGGTATTATTATTAGCTGCCTGCCTGCCATTAGTAGTGGGATTTTACTTATGTTTAGTTGGATTCGCAATGCGGCGCGCGCCAGTTCGTCTTCTTTATTTGTACTCTTTCGCTCTCTCTTGGGCAGAAGTGTCCTAGGGATACGAGAAACTTCGTGTTTTCTTTTTTTCTTCTTTGCTCTTTCTAGATTGATTGATGGGTATCTGGATTCTCTTTTCTTTTGATTTATTAGTCTAGAACGTGGTTCTCACCGCCCCCCCCCCCCCCCCCCCCACCCCCCCCCCCTTTTTTTTTTTTTTTCGTCTTTCAGTATGATTGTCAGAGGGATCAGAGCGACTGCGCTACTCTGCCTCCTCCTCGCAACATGCACCCCGACAAGCAGCGCAACAGCGACATGCTACTTCCCTGATGGTACCATCGCAAGCAATAACGTTCCCTGCTCATCGGACACGTATTCCGCATGCTGTGGCAAATCCGACGTCTGTCTATCGAATAATCTCTGCATGGATACGGGGGAACAGCCGTATGTTCTGTCCAGGGGAGGGTGTACGGATCCGAATTGGGAGTCGGATAATTGTCCGTCTGTTTGTCGTACGTACATACATGATACTTCCGGTGTTTTTCAGTAAATTTTAGTATTGGTGAATGATGGGGGAATAACGCTAATCTTTGGTTCTTCTGTACTGTATAGAAAGTATCAACAAGGGCGGCGGTTGCTCGATAATAAATCTTCTGTATGAGAATGGCGTCTCGACGTATTGTTGCGGTACTCCGATAAGCAACGGCAGTGAGGTGATTTGTCCGCATGGGAACTCGTTTGAGGTTGCTACGGGGAAGATGCTATATGGGTATGCGGCGCTTGCGAACTCTACAGCGGATGCGTCGTCGGAGAATAGTACGTGTACTTCGTCGAATTCGTCGGCCTCGGTGGCATCTTCTTCAGCCTCCTCGTCTTCCTCCTCGTTTTCCGCGGGGCGGGATACAGCCATCGGTGTTGGAGTTGGGGTCCCTCTGGGCGTCATTGCGGGTGCTTCGCTTGTGTGGGCGTTTTGGGAGAGGAAGGAGAGGAAACGGATGCAGAGATCCGGTGGTAGTGTTGATGGCAACCTGGCGGTGGAGCAGGAGTTCTCTGCACCGATGGTGAAGACACAGCGTCCGCCAGTCGAGTTGGAAGTCAATGGTGCGAGGCATGAGCTGGTATCATGATTCAGTGACTTGATTGATAGTTCGATGCCCTGGTTTCATGAATGTACGAGATACACATTGATATTTGACAAGCTAAATAATAGCATCAGCAAGGGCTATATAATAATTAATCATGAGAAAGCATTGTGTTGAGTGTCCGAAGGGTTGGCATCAGCGCTCTGAACGTTCAATTAATTGAACGAAATGCCACTCGTGCCTTGACTTAAGAAAGCAAGCGCATCTTGATCCAGGTCGCTTTCCAGAGATACGTAATCCTGAAGTTGCATGTTCATCTTGGCAAGGCCAGGGAACCCCAGAAGTGACCCTGTGACCGGTCCGTCGAGGAAAAAGCCTGGATCGTATATCTCACAAGGGTCCTCAGAGAGCGACAAGGTCTGATCAATTGCCATGAGCGGAAAAGACTCTGAGTCAGGAGCAAGAGACGGATCTGCAATCTGTCCAATGCTGAGCCTTGGATCCATTAGAGGGTCATTTGCGGAAGACGAGTTACTCGATGGTGTCTGCGCGTTCCGACTGGAAAGCAGCGCTGTTTGGGGGACGGAGGATGATCCAAGCTGTTGGAATGCTTGCTTCGCACGCTTCATTCTCTTTTTCACCGGCAGTAAAGCTGCTCCAAGCCGAGATATTACGTCTCCTTTACAGGCTTGGTGCAGCTGATCAGCAAGGTGGGCTAGCTGATTCTGTCGCAAGCCAATCATATTGCGCTCCTCGATCGAGCCATGCTCATGTTTCGCATATATGTACGAAAAGCCCCTGCTGCAAGTGTCAAAAGCATACAGCATTATACTCGATTCATCAACGCTTCGAAACTCTTGCGCAGGCATCAGATTTGACACTCTGGAAGGCCTTTGTTGAATAATGGTAAGAAGCGCGGAAGCCGACTGGCAAAATGGATCGATGACAGACGGCGAGATCGCCGGCCGCTTTTGATCATTCTTGTCTCCAGAGAAGAGCATATGAATAGCAATACCATGATATGCACTTAGAAGAAAAGACCGTGACGATGCGACGGTGACCTCGTTCTTCACCAGCTCGATGGCATTGAGAAGGATCCTATGCATCCTCGACGCCAGAACAGATCGATCAAAGCAAGGCTGGAAAAGCTGATGTAACTCGTGGAGATGCTGTTTCTGCCATGGCATAGATTGCTTATCTTTGTTCTCTGTGGGTGCATTGAGATACAGGGTGTAGATATGGGCCACTGTACTGGTGATGTGACTGAGTGGCCACAAACACTGGGCAGCCTGGATTTGTGCCTGTAGCGTGGAGATGTTTCCCGATGCGCGATCTAGGCGGAGAATAGCTGAAGCTGCCTCATCCAGGCACGGGAAGTCGGGCGTCGTTTCCGGAGTGAGCAACGAGAATGGCTGATTGCTTTGCATGAACCCCCATGTTGTGGTGGCCAGGCAGATCCAGTAAACATTCTGTGCCAATTCTTGCTCGACGGCACCTATATCCACACCATTGAGCTTTCTGCTACACTTGCTGTGATCATCAGCCTGCCAAAAAGTGTACAAAGTGGCAATTATGCGACAGGCGTAGCCTGTGAAGCAGGTGGCGCGTCGGGCATGGCCGAGGCACAGCTCCCTCCATCCTACCAGAAACAGTGCCTGGGCTGTAGAAAGAACGGAGGGGTTTCCAAGCACCGCTGTGCGCTGCCTCAGCTGCAATATAGCAAAGTTGTATAGTGTCTGGGGATTAACCGGGACACAATTATGCAGCCCGCTCATGATGGGCTGTATGTCATATGCATCAGCCAGTATGACGGCTAGAAGAGCCTTATCTACTGTATCATCCTGGATTGCTGTAATTAGAAGTGTTTTAGACACCAGAGGTGACAATGGATGGGCCGAAAACCACACATCAACCATTTGAAGAATCAGATGCTTCCCCGGCACCATCAACGGGTCGACAGCAGACTCGAAAGGGTCAAACATCGTACGCGTGGTGTCCGCTGCCAGAGTTGATACATAAAAGTTTTGATTCGGAGCCTCCAACTGCTGAACTCCTAGGTGACTAAAGCGGAGCGGCAGGATGCCCACCATCTCCGACGCCATAAAGGACAGCAACCCATCATAGCTCAAAGGAAGCTGTATTGAATGGAATGGGGGTTTCCGAGGAGACTTGTCCAGCTCCCGTTGATAGGTAGCTATTGCGGTTTGGAAGATATTGGAGCCGGAGTCAGTTTTCGTGATAAAGTAGGCATTGAATCTCCGCTCCAGTTCATCGCCTACTTGAATACTCAGGTCGGAGCTGGTTGCAGATTCCTCGTAACTTTGCGCTATTGGGTTAGGCGTCAAGGAACTCTCTGCGCTCGCTCCTGGCTGCGACGAAGTATCTCTACCATTGTCATCATGTAGTTGCGACGTCAACGGAGGTTGTGATGTTGTTGTTCCCCTGTGCGCGGGCCGGCCCTTTCGAGCTTCCGGACTGTATTCGCAGCTGAGGTTGCGCTTTTGACAGGCACTGCAAATAGATTCACCGGAACATCGAATCTTCCGGGTACGACAGAAGACACAGCTGCGTCGCAGGCCCATGATGAGCTAGGGACGCACTGGGAGGGAAATAAATGTGTCTACAGAACATCAACATGGCGGATGGTTGTCAGCAATGGAGCACAGCCTCGTCATGTGAAACAGCCCGAACCCACTGCCCAAATTGGCACTAGTTCTGGTATCATGCCCTATTAAAGGCATGTATGACTTTCAACATAAACTTTTCTACACTACATCGAGCTGCAGGAGGCAAACATATATTCCTCCTGACCCTTGAGATCGGATCTGCTTCCCGCACTTAATTATACTAGCCGACATGCAATATGATCGCTCAGCACGATCTGCAGAACCCGACCTAGAAGTCTCCTTGCATGGAGAATTGCCCGAATGAGCTACCGACCAACACTAGTATCTAATAATATGCAGCGATATGAATGATCAACCCCAGACTTCATTACGGTGAGGGTCAACCACAATAGACTAGTTGCCTTGTTCTATGATCCGTTGCTATATAAATGGGATCATACTTCCAGCTCTTGATCATTATTCTCTACACTCTACACTCAGATTACTTTCCATTCCAAGATATAACCACCACAAGCCAACCAACCAATATCCCTGACCACCATGAAGTTCTCTGTTCTTTTCACAGCCCTCTTTGCAGCCCTCGTCACAGCTGAACACGTGAAAGGCGGTGGCAAAGTGTCTGCACATGGAAAGCGCCAGGTAAGTAACTAAGCTGTATACATCATTTGCCTTCATTCACAAAGATGGGATACTAACCTCTCATCTAAATTAGGATCTTGAAACGTGTCCCACCACTGATTCCAGCAATTGTTGTTCCGCTTGCTGGGGTGCTTCTCAGTACACTCATATTGACATCACGGAGTGCTGCGGCAAGTGTGGCTGCTAAGGGCTCACTCAACACAAATTGCTTGGGAGACTGGCAACCATTTGTTTCATCAAATACGCTATCCTGTGCTTTGAAACTCAGCAGTGTTCTATCGAACTATCTGCTTCATCATGTCTTGGCTTAGGTTTTCCCTACTGGTGAAGGTTTCCCTATGCTGTTATGCGAATGCATAGGCTTGGTCAATATTGAATCCATGACTTTTTCTTATGGTAACTAAGCATATAGTCGTAAATTTGTGCCTGATAATAATGTGTCTTCTGAGGGGTGAAGTCGTGTCTACTTTTTTGTAGATCTCATCTATGCCAGTCTGTAATCACCTTACCTTTTCCAAGACGGACTGACTAAGGGGAGATAGTAATGGCTTATCTGAAGGTAAAAGACCATTAACGAAAAAATCATTGGGTACAATCTGATACCCCGAAATTAGCAATTAATACTGATAACAAACATGATCGAGGGTCGCTGCATTATCCAATCGTTCGTAAACCAGACTCCAGTAATAGGCCTCCGAAATCCCAAAGGTATCATTACTCATAACGTCAAACAAAGCATCATCAAAAACCCCTGCTCTGAAAACACAGATAGTGTCCACTTCATTCCCTACGATCCGGATCAATACCTTGATCCCGGAGCTTCTTCTTGTCCACCCCCTTCATCGTCACGTCTACAAAATTCTTGGGGATCGGTAGGGACTCCCTAAGTTGATCAGTGGAATTTTCTACATCAGAGGAGCAATGATGACTTACCGAAGGAATTTGATCCTCAAGTTCCTCGCACGATCCTTTATCTGCACCTGGTTCCGATTTTCAAATCGGGCTTCTCCCTCCCTTTCAGGCTGTATCGTGTTCTCGTCTTCGATCTTCGTCCACGAAACACCATGCTCTTCGATCAAACGTATTAACCGGCGATCTTCGGCATCCGTCCAGCCCCTGGTTCTCCGCTTAGGTGCCGGTGGTGGCATCGCCTGGCGGTTCTCTGTCTGTGGCGATGGGGCCTGCGTACGAACCGGGGAACCAGCAGCTTCCTGCGACCTGGACCGATGTCGAACCTGGGCCTCGTCCCCGGCTCCTTCATGGCCATTGTCTACCCTTGCGCGCTTGCTTTGTCGCGCCTGCGCGGGCTTTTCCGCACGCCGGCGTTCCGTAGCCACCTCACGGTCATCGGTATCGTATTCCTCGTCGCTCTCAGAGACAGTCTCGGTTTCACGTCTGCGTTTGGGGGGCCGTCCACGAGGTCTCCGTTCCACACTTCTCGGTCCCGACGTCTGGCTGACCGGAGAAACGCGCACTGCGTTTTCTTGGCGGTCGATAAACGCAGGTCGTGAGCTGTTAGAAGCTTCTGGAGTGGCCCGCGACCGAGAATTCGCCATATTCCAGACATCCCTGCTTGAGGGGAGCGAAAGGTGGTTTTCCATTCTAGGAGGTGCCAATGTAGACGCAGGCTCCCTGCGGGGTCTTGGGACGGACCGATTCATCGGAGGACTATGGGACCTCTCCGGATGGTTCTCGGTATGCTGACTGATATCAAGTGGTTCGTCGCATACGAAAAGTTCGGTGTCTTCGGCCGTTGTGTGTTCATCGTTCAGCCGGGTCTCTTCATGTGTCTCATCGCCATCATTCAGCTGCGTATCCTCATAAGCCTCAGTTTCATCGTTAACCTGCGTTTCATCATTTACGAGCGTGCGAGAAGCGTCAAAGGTAGTCTGGACCTCATTGGGCGGTGCTGGGTCCGTTGACCTCTGGCGAGGTGGGATTGCAGACACAGTCTGTCGCCTGTCGGCTGCAGGCTGATCTGCCACTTCAGAAGCATTGGGTCTAACTGAGTCAGATTGTCGGCGAGAGGTTGACGCATCAATTGAATGACGAAGCTCTTGTCTTCGTTGACCCATCCGGGCGATAGCGTCTCGATTATTGAAGGGGCTTTTCTCGGTTAGCATGGACAAAGGGTAAATGCTGAGGATACTCACTATTTGCGAAACTTCTTCTGAGGCCTGGTCTCAGAGGGCTCTTCTGTTGCAGCAGGAGGCAAAGCATCGCGGGCGACCGAAGCGACTCTAGGCGCGCTTCTCTCCGGTTCAATAATCTCTGGGACTGTGTGAAACGGGTTCTGGGCAGACATGGGTGTTGCAACTTTTTGTGCATTTGTAGAAGCGGTCGCAGGAGGCCTTGCTTGCGACGAAGGCTGCGAGACCTGTGGCGTACCTGAAGTGGTAGCAGACCTCCGTGCTGTATTCTCAGTCGTCGCTAGACGATTGGAAAAGCGCCCACTCGGCGTGGACAACGCCGGAGTGCCGCCTATACTTTGTCGTGACTTTGCAATGGTGTAAAAGCTCTCATGCATGTCCATGGAGCTTATTTGGCCTTTCAAGTCATTGTTCACCTCGTCACACCTCTTGCGAATCCATCGGGCGGCCTGCATGACGAACTTCTGCCAGCGGTAGTCACCCTTGAGTGCCCCGATAGTACCGTCGACTTCCAGGACGACACGCATATCGTCATAACGGCTTTCAACGTCACTCCGATATTTCGATGGAAGTTCCCCTCGGGCATCGGTGAACCTCTCCAGATTGAAGCCGCGAAACCGGCGCTCGGCATCGCTGGGTGCGTCCTTGGGCGCGTCCAAGAAGAAGCCAGTTGTCAGTATCTCAACTGGGTCAAAGTCATCATCATTCTGATGTGCTTCAAGCTGCATTATCAAGTACTGTGTGCGAATCTCTAGAGCCAGCTGCCAAGTCTCCTTCTCCAGATAGCTTTCATCGACAGACTTCTGGGCACCCCTTTCCACCAGATTAGCCATGAAAGGCGACGGAAACTCATCATGGATGGTGGAAATTGCCTGCTCTGGAGAGGACTCAGTACCAGGTGTAGCCAGGAGCATTCGCAACGCAAAACGAGCACAATTGGCTTTGTAGAGCACAGGTTTCGAGTAGTCTTCAAGCCCACTGACTTCCACAATGTACTCCACATCAAGATAAGAGAGAGGGCTCTTTTGACCAAAGTACTTCGCTTCATGGTTCAAGTTAGTCACAGACCGCTGCAGCCGTCTGCTCTGAGTGCCAGCAGGATCCCTCAGCTGCTTCGCCCTGCTCATGATGCTGACGGGATCTGCCGACCCAGGAACGAGGAAATCAAGTACATTGGCAGCTGCACGCTCCAAGTCCGGAAGTGCCTCGACCATGATATCCACATCCAGATCATGGTCCGGTTCTGAGGGAAGAATAGTAGTACCGGAGATGTTGTGTTCATCTTCCGGAGTCTCAGGAATGACCTGGTTTCCATACTGGGGGCCAGTCTTCTGAGCCGACCTTTGCGGTGATTCTTCAACCACAACATCTAAGCCTGCACCAAGAACAATGAGAGGCGCCCCAAAGAACCACTAACAGTACTAAGAAAGAGACTCACCCTTCCCGCTCACTGGTCCCTTACTTTGGGTGCCCCACCTTCTCCGACCAGCACCTGCCGACGGCTCGCCATCATCACCACCACTACCACGAGGAGGAGCCTGTTGAGTCCGAAGTTCCTCTAACTCTCGACTCTGACTTCTGGTGACACGTCTCCGCATAGGACTCCCCGTCCAGACCCCTTGGCCTTTAGACAAACCAGTCGAGGATTGTGCGACCTCTCGTGACTGAACCAGCCGCGCCATTCTGCCACCACAACAAACGCGTCCGAGAAGAATAGAAGGCGGTCAGCCGTCCGAGCACGTGAAATCCCAGGGCTTTATATTCCAGACGGTCTGCTATCGATGCTAGAAGCCTCAAATTGATGCAAATTGATGATTACGACTGTTGTTTTGATGCCGCAGTGATGTTGTCGATGGCTGGGACGGCGTAGAGTAAGGAAAAGGAGATTGGTGGTGTGTTGGGGTACTAGCGGTCAAACCCTTGGGGTAAGTTGCTTACTAAGTGCTTAGTACGGCTGTGCACTAGGCCGAGAAAAGAAGGCGGTATTGAGAAACCCTTAAACCCTACATAAACCCTAACCAAAACCCTAGAAACCCTACTGTTTACCATGTATTATCGGACCATGAATTAGAGGACCATTTCGACTACCACCACTATTAATGAATTCTTACTATCGAAAAAATGATTGTTTAAAGGACATGAACCTGTGGATATCAGACCTCAGTCCATGTTACTGATATGTACGCACGTACGTCCGCTTTCAACTACCATTAGGGTTTAAGAATAGAAAATCATATACATCGATAACAGCTTAATTTGTAAGGCCATTGGGCCGAACCTATGACTGATGTTTATTCTACAAAGGTGCTAGGCCGGTTATTGAGTATGGATCTTCAACTTCTCTTGAACGTGCCGCTGGCTGTGGCGCGTACTGACTGAGCGATGCAATAAAAGACACTAGGACGTGTGAATGAAGTCATTACTGGAACATGTGCCAATGTGCTCCTTGGACTCAAGGGTCTATTGCAGACTGCTAGACATATTTGGTAGAATGAAAGGAATGAAGCTGTGGTGCAGAGGATAGTTAAAATGGTTTTTGATGGGCAGTCGTGTTATATGGTTTTGCTCAGGCTCTGGGTGTATCCTTTCTCTTTTTGACGCATAGTACCAATCTTGGCCTGAAAGACTGGACAAGTATATGCTTGGATTGAGTATAACTGATTACATAGATTGTTGGAGTTGATTGCGCTCACTGTGCAGTACATGCTAGTTACCCTACTGAGGTTAGTCCGAGGAAAGAAAGTACAAAATCAGCCTGTTAGTCGCGGAAATACACTACAGAATGTGCATCACTGTGAATGATAAATCTAATTATACTGCATCAAGAATTTTATTAAAACATCGCTAAGGCGCGAATATTACAAGCACCATATCGCATAATCTATACTGAAGAGAACCACCCGATATGTGAGACACAAGCGGGAGCAAATGAAGGTCTAATAGATGGCTTCAACCAAGTAGATGACACCAAAGACCAAGAATGCCGTGGCACCGCCCAGCGTTACTGTGACACGTTAGCAACAGCCGTGAAACTAGAAAGGAGGAGTACGTACCGACGCGCATGCTGACCTTGCCAGCAATAGCACTGCCGCCAATAACGGCGGCCGCAGTGCAAAGTCCGTGTCCGGAGATAGCTCCGATGGTCACCCACCAGTAATCTTGACCGGCAGCCATAGCAATGGTTGCAATCTGACTGCGGTCACCCCACTCGCCCAGGAAGGTCATAACGAAAGTCTGAACCCAGGCGGGACTGAGAAGAAGCGAGAAAAGGTTGTTCATTCCGACAAGAACATCATTCCAGCGGTTACCAGAGGGAGAGGAAGCACGAGAGGACGACGATGAAACACTCTCGGGAGGTGAGGGAAGACGGTTGCCGGAGGAGCGAGACTTGCGACGACCAACGCGGCCAGCCTCCAACGAGTGGGGAGTCACGGACGAACGGCGACGGTTCATACGCAGCTGCTCCTGCTCCTTTTCTTCCAGCTCCATTTCGACCTCCTTCATCTCCTCTCCAACACCCTCGTCGGGCGACATTTCGCGACCTTCCTTGAGCATCTTCAAACCGAACACGAAGAACAGAACGGCAGCCAACAATTTCGTCAGAGACTTGGGGATCAGAGTAGGTACTGCGTGGCCTAGGACAGCGGAGAGAACAGTCATAAAGATGAGGGCACTGAAAGCGGCGGAAAAGACGAGCAGACGCGGATGACGCATAGCCATGAGCGCGGCAACCAGGAAAGTCTTGTCACCAATTTCAGATACGATGATCATGGTGAAGGAGAACAACAACGAGTGGAATGCAGTTCCCTCCTCCAGCGGCTCGCCAGGCTTGTTGCCCGAGGAGCCATGCTTATCGAGACCGAGAGGGCTATCTTTGACCGTGGCCGGGGACTTGGGAGGTGGGATGTCGTGGGGCTTTTCTGGCAAATCTGCGGGTTTCTGAAATACATCAGCAAGCGTTACCGAATTTCATGATAAAGGTCTAAAATACCTCCAATTTTCCGAGGGTCGAGTCGGTGCTCGATCCCTTGGTGTCCTTGACTTCGGCATCCTGACCCGCCACTGGCAGCTTTTGCTGCTCACTGTGCGGCAACGGAGGAGCCTCCTTGGGACTACCCGGCGTCTTTTCATTGTTGTATGGCTCCCTCAACTTCTCAGACACCCCACCTTCTGTCCCACGAGTACCCTCCTTGGGGCCCGTCCGATGAGGATCATCCATCACGCCGTCGTTGGAGTAAGGAATTGGGTTGCCATCAGGGCCCAATTGTTCCGCTTTAGGATCGGTCTTTGCCTTTTCCTCCGACAAGGTGGTAGAGCCCGTCTTCTTGCGATCCCGCTCTGCACTTGTTTCCACCCAGGGACCCGCATGTGGCCGACCATCCTTGCCGTCGATCGGGGCGTCCAGCGTCCCTTTGGCGGGCTTGGGTGCGGCGGCGGCATCTATTTCGACGGCATTTGGAGTCGAAGCTTCCCGCTCAGCGAGAAGAGCGTCCTTTGCACCGTTGTTGGCCGAGCTCGGATCCGTGAGCGCGACCGAAAGCGCAGGAAGGAGGAAGAGGAGAAGCGACGAAGAGTGAATCTTCATGGTGTAGGGCTGTTATCGTCACAGTTGGAACAATTGCAAAGAGATTAAAACGTAGTGTAGATGATACAAGCAGTAGTCCACATGAACGGATAAGAAAAGGCCGTAAATGAAGGATTGACGAGAAAGTTTGGTTCCAGGTACGTCGATCGGTGTAAATCAAGCCACGACAGCGATCCGAGCGGACTCAAGACACGCGATCGGGAACAATGGCGAGACGAGAAACGAAGCGCGGAGTCAACGAAGTGGACTGGTCATATGAAGCAAACAAGTAGAATACATGCAAGAAGGGAAAGGAGCGAAGCCGATAAGCGGTCGTCGAGGGTGGCAGGAAGCAGGAATCTGGGAGGTTTCTTTTCCGGCCGCAAAGGGGCAATGCCGCCTCCACATCACGTGGTACCCGCTTGCGGTGGTCTGGTTCCTTCCCCATTTACTATTAGTTAGTAGTAATAATCCCTCCTCCACTCCTTGGCCAGCCATCGTCTGGCTTGCAACTGGCTGCAATCGATGCAACAATTTCTTGTTTCAGCTGTCTCATGATGTACACAATTTGGGGTTATTCTGGGGTCTAGCTGAGCCTGCTTGCACTGTATCTTAGTAGTCTTACAGCCGAATGCTGACCCCTCAACCCAATCGGGCGTGGTTGAATTTAGATGACTGGCGGGCCGCCGACTAACTAGTACTTAAACTAACTATTAATATCCCCCCTCTTTGATAGTCGTGCCTGGCTGCCTCTCCATCTACATCTCTCCGGGCGCTGCACACTGATTAGTACCACCCACAAAACACTTGGCCTGGGATCTATCTACGTACTCAGCTTCCAGTGCAATCAAGTGCGTACTTGATGAAATGAGGATCTTAATCTTATTATCCTACCGAATGTGAATCATGGCAGATGTTCTTATCGCTGCTGTGCAACACCAATAGGCCATTCACTAGACAATGCATTCAGTGTTATCAGCCTTCTCTCACTACAAACTCATCGTATATGAAATTTTCACTATGGCACGTCCCTGTCACCGCTCATGACGTCAGCCTCATCTTTGTTGACTCTCCTGGGTATCGACTTCGAAGATGTCGGACTCAACAACAATCAACAACACGCTCGCCAGCCCAATCGGGTCCCTTGCCTCCAGTCCCGGCAGCACCCTTGCTTCCCAATCCGACTCTCCTCGAGCGCGGCTGAGCGCCAGCAGTGGCTTTGGCTTCGCCTCCGCCTCCGCCTGGTCTGAGATCTATCAGAATGAGCCTGAGAAAGCTCCGGCCACGCAGTTGCTGAGTATTAGCGATAATCCCGATCATCTCGAAATTGATACCTCCAGCCCCGAGGAGCACAGCCACTTCAGTGACGACAGCACCGACAGCATGGAAGACTACGATATCGTCAGTGGAGCGAGCTCCCCAAGCTCCCTGTCCTTCCAAATCGTTGAGCCAGAACGCGAAAAGCTCTACCCGATCGCCATCACCGTTTTCGTGGGAAGTCCACGTGCTCAGAAAGATCGAACCGTCCATCTCAGCTGCATTGTACTCACATCCGATTGGCGCCAGGACTTTTTCCCGAACTCGTGCAAAAACAAAGCCGACAAGGCAGTGAAATGCAAAGACATCATAAAGTACAACGAGCAGTGCCTTCCGCAGATCGCCAAATTTGCCTGTGCAATTTGCTCTGAGCCGACTCCCGCCCGCAAATTCGTGCACCAGCCCATTATGTTCACACGGACTAGCAAATCCGGACTGGAGGATGGACCCCGACGCCGGCTGATCATGCGATTGGGACAGCTTGTTCATAGTCGGTGGAAGTTCCCTGACATGAATTCCACGCTTGGGGGATCAGCAGAAGCTCAGGTCTTTGAGGTTGCCATTCCGGTGTGCAAGAGGTCAGGCTGCGGCATAGCAGGTCGGACGTCTGCCCACCAACTCATCCGGGCCATTGTTTCGTCCAATGCGGACTTGGATCCCTCAGCGCTGGACCTCGACATAGTTATTCCATTGGCTGATTTAGGAACCGGTATAGGAGATTGGACACCAGACAGAGCAGAGATTTTGGTGACGAAGCTCGGGCCGGACTGTGTGCCTCTGGAGGTACGCAGCCATGTCGAAGCATGATAGCTGGTCAGGCTGGGAGTTTGGTTATGATCTACGACTTCAACGCGGTAGAGAGACGGCGTATGAGCAAGATGGAGGCGTCACAGAGGAATATCTTATCATGAAATTATGACTTGGGAAATATTGGTGGATTTACGAATGACGAACGGCCGGAAATGAAAGACGCGACAGATAGAAGTCGATCTAGAACAGACCGAAAAACGGAGTTTCACGCCCATCAATCCCGCAGTAGACAGTACCCACCGTAGCCTGCCAAGTAGGAATACGTACTCACGACCTAGACTCCAGCATCCAATGTATCAAATATGGCCTGACTCGGCAACACGTCCACGTAGGCTACTTAACATCAGATAAGCCCGATCTCAGGCAACCACCAACCAGACCATACCCACATCCTTCAAATTAAGCATACACAACACTACTAGAAAGCTAGACCATTCGACAAAGGATCTGTCATCCGCCCCAATAATACACTGATCGTACGAAATCTCACGGTAAAACCCACTGCCACCGCGGCAAATCATCCCTTAATCTACCACCCGCAGTGTGAGTGGATCCCCACCTCAAACAAGCTTAAGTATTAGACTAGACTAGCCACCGTGACGAAACACCAGAACACTTCTAGACCGGGGGATGGGCTCCACCCCCTGTTTGAGATGAAGTGATGGATGTATAATGCGGTTGTTATATAGGTGGATGGGGGTGAATATATAAAGTAGGAAAGTTCCTGATCAATCACCACCAAACAAAAAGCTTATCCAAGACGCAATTGAAAGAAAAGAAAGAATAAGAATCATGCAGACCAAATCCCTCCTCACCATCCTCCTCAGCGCTGCTCTGGCTGCTGCGACCGTTGACCCCGCCAGCTCTAACACTAAGGGAAAGTGTCCGGGTACTTATAACTGCTCTGGTGTGTACTTTTCCCTTCCTATCATTACCTGCTACAAGCATAAGAAACAATGATGCTAATGATGATACTAAAACTATAGCCGCCAAAACCTCCACCGCCATCCAGGCAGCCGAGTGCTCCCACAACACCCGTACTTCCGGTACGTCCACACCTCAATCCCGAAAGACGAAGCAATGTACTGATAAATGCAATGCAGGAACCCAAACCTTCGCCGTCTTCGTCACCGACCACGAATATGACTCTTCCTACGGCGCTCCCTACGGTACCTGCAGCGCGTACACTTGCACCGCGCCGACGGATAGCGAGATGACGGATGATGATGATGATTGCTGGACTTTCTTTTGGAAGTAAGCCTCCCTACATTACCTTTTCCATCGTGTGGTATTCCTTATGATGGGTGAATGCTAACATGCTGTGTGTAGCGACAACGGCGAGTCCTCCGGCGTTGGAACCGGATGCATTCGCAGCCCTGACGATGGAACTTGTGGATGTGAGGACTCTGATGGAACTTTTGTCTATGGGGGAACGGATTGCTCTTAGTTTTCCTTCTTGGGAGTATATGCTTGAGTGTTGGGTAGAAGGGATACTACTGGGTAGTATGTATATTGATTTGCAGGTTTTGAATCATTGCAATTGTTTGAATACTGGTATATCCCGGAAGTAGTGAACCGCATAATAGCATAACAGGTACAGTACATGATCATAGCATCCATATCATTAACATGAACATACCAAAAACACCTGTTCTGCGCCAACCACGCACTCCCAAGTCACAATCATGTCCTTCCCGACCCATCCAACTCCGACGGCCCCCTAACCATAGCCTCATACATCACCTGTCCCTGTCCCTGACCCTGACCATGCGGCCCCTGATAAATTCCTCCCCCAACCGGCTGCTGCATCTGCATATGCTGCGGCGACTGCTGCCCATCCCACCCCCACATCCCCTGCCCCAACGGCGGCGACAACCCCGACCCAACAGTCGCACCACTAAACTCACTCTGCGGCACTAATGCACTCCCGCCATCCATCTCACTCTTCCTCTGCCCACCACCGCCACCGGCAGCAGAATTACTACCCCCCTTCCCCGTACTCTGCCCCGGACTCAACAGCGCCGCCCACCTCGCGGTCCGCTCATGTCTTCCATCCTGACTGGACATCCACTGCCGATAGACGCGATTTCTCCCGAGGAGGAAGAACAACGCGCCGAGAATAGCGATGAAGGCCACGGAGCCGATGACGATGCCGACGATGGCGCCGGTGCTGAGCGCCGGTGAGCTTGTGGAGGGGGTGTTGGACGGGGATGAGGTCGAGGTTGATGTGGATGTCGGGGCGATGGTGCCTTCGGCGGGGATGGACTGGCCTGGGACAAGCATGTAGGGGTAGGTCTTTGCGCGGTTGTATTGCGATTCGAAGGTCATGGTGGAGTTCTACAGGGTTAGTTGGGGTGAGAGAGGGGAAGGGAAGGAGGGAGGAAGTACTGGGTTTATGACGCCGACCATGCCGTTGCCGATGCAGGAGTCTATGGCGGTGCAGTAGAAAAATGCGGGCTGGTGGTTGTTAGTGATGCTTTGGATGGGTTAGGGTGGGTGGATGGATGATGTACCTCGGTGTCGTTGACGACTAGGGACCAGGTTGGGGGCTACGTTGCGGCATTAGTACGAGGGCGAGGCTGATGTGAAGGGTATAGGAGTAGACATACCGGTCCAACCAACTGTCCATCCTCCTCATTGAAACTATTGAATATCCCCGAGTAAAAGATCTCCCCGCTGGCAGGCACACAAGGCGCAAGATAGTCTGCTTTCACGACGGAGTGATTTCTCGGATAGAACTCGAAGACGATAATATCGCCGACCGCAGCGGAGACATTATGAGGCGAGTATTGATGAGGATCTTCTTTTGAGCCGACCTGAACAGTATGGGTTGCTATCGCGGTGGTTGTGGTGGATGTTGCTCTGGTTGTGGAAGTGGTTGAGATGCCGGTCGTGCTGCTGTGAGATTGGGCTGATGCAGTAGTAGCGAGCAGCATCGCTACGAGGGCGAGCAGATGGGCTGCCATTAAGAGGGATAGCATTTCATCAGGTATGTGCGCGATATACTTAAGATTCAAGACGGGGAAGTCGTTCCGAAGGACAGGCAAAAAAGGTCGACGGGCGGCCACAAAGAAAGGAAAAAAAAAAGACGGTTGCCCCTGGATGAGATAACAAAGAAACTACGATTAGATGGCCGGAAAAGATGATGCATAGGCAGATGCCCGAATGCGCAGAAGAGGGGCTGAGGATTATTTTTCCTCCTACGAGATGCATGGATCATGGATGGACAGCCTCTTCCCAACTCACACCTCGTGTTCCCGCATCCATCAGCCCGTAGCGCTGACTGGTTAGGGCTGGACACGATGATCTTGGCAGCAGCGGTCTGTCCTGTCACCAGGCGGGATGGATTTGTGGGTAGCTTCAATATGTTTTACATTCATTTGACAGGTCTCGGAGGTAAGAATAGGGGTCTCTGTGGTATCTGTATCTAGACTGACGTGCTGTTTGACACTTGGATCAGTGTGCGTCGGTATGTGGTCAACGGCGGATTCCCAGTGTCTTTTACTCGTAGAATCAAATGCAACAATTGACAGCTATCCTCATCGCAGCTGTCCTCCGCTGTCGGAACCTTAACCGTTGCGACTCTTCCACCAGAAGTGGTCGTTATGTTCAGATCGGCTACGTTCCCCTCCGTGCTCGCGTTATCCGTGGACGGCTCCAGATACTGGAACCATTCGAAGGACAGACCATCTCCATCGGGATCATATGTCTCTCCCGCATCCAAGGTGATTTTCGCCCCCACGGACGCATTGACAGTGACAGGATGCAACCCGCCCGCCCCGTTTACAACCACCACCGGGTGGTGGTTCCATGTCTTGTTCGTCTCCGAAGCAGACAACGTCCACTGCATGCGTGCCGCAAAGTCATTCTGGTATGCCTCTCTCCAACGCCAGATTGTCGCTTTGTTGGAGGTGAAAGTTTCGTTGTTTATGCCGATGACCTGGTCCTCTGTGTCGCTGTAGTGATTGTCCCAGTCACATGTTTCACACACTGGCGCGTACCGTCCGCCCCAACTGCCATAGTTCGGGTGTTCGGGATCACCCAGGCCGTTCTGGATCATATACAGCAGCGTAGGGCTATCTCCCTCCATGATATATTCGAAGTCAGGATACTTGGCTCCGAGTGGTCCGATCCGGATGTTCTTCTTCAGCCATTCGTGCGTCACATACGACGAATCTGGGCCGCCTTTATCGAAATCATAGTTGATCTCGCCTGAGATCCCCGACCAGGCAGCCACTCCATACTGATTAAAGGCGTGCATAGAGTTTATAAAGTGGATTTCGGGCCAGTTGTTGCGGACCCAAGCCCCAGTGTCGTCTTGATCGGAGATGGTGTAGACCCATAGGTTTGAGCGGAATGATGCTGCCTCAGAGGGAGAATATGTGAGAGATATGTTCAGGAGAGCCTGTGCAAGGACGTTGTCGCCGCCCCAAGACAAGACCCAAAGGGGCTGACCAGAGGTCGTGTTGGTGAGACTTTTGATGAGGAGTTCAGCGCCGGGGCTATAGGTGTTGTTGTCCTTGAGAGCCTCCATGCCATATACCTTCATTGGGTTAGTGATGGTCAATGTCAGTGGTGCAGGCTGGACATACTGGAAGACCATGAGACACAATCCCTCTCATGTATTCTGCCGAAGGATACGGCGAATCCTCAGGAGCATGTTTATTCAAGTTATCTACCACCTTCGCGTAGGCATCAATGGTCTCCAGCATCAAGTCCGGGCGTACTTGGTCCTTCAACCATGTGGAAGTGACGGCCACAAGCCCTTCATTCTGGAACTGATTACTGTAGACGAGATAGCGAACAAGAGACTCGGAGTCGTCAGGTTCATTGGCAATATCCGACAAAATAAAGATGCGCGGCTTGGTCGGGTAGGAAAGAAGGGATCCGTTCGAGCTGGCTCGGCCATGAGGGAGAGCCAGAGCCAGCCCTGCGCCGAGGAGAGGTAGACACCCAAGGAACCTCATTTTGAGGATGAATGCGACTGAAGAGAGACTTATCCGATTTTACTCACCACAGCTGGAACAAGAGACATATTTATACCCGTTGCTGGACGCAAACGACTTGTTTTGTCCCCGGTGAAAATTCGGATGATGGTCATGATGCAATGCCGCGATGACACCCGACAAGAGCCATATTGACTACTGATCGGCATGCGGGGATGCGGATGCCTGCATTGTGGGGGTAATAGTCACCGAAGAATCCTCCCCAGACATCACAAATGGAGATGCTGGACGAGAGAATCGCTGAAGAATATCCACTCCACCTCCCGCTTCGGCGTGGTTACGCATTCCGCTTTCAGTCAGTCGTGGCTCGAACTTCCCGATCAGGAATACCTGAGGTGCTCCTCCACAAATTTACCCTGAATAGCCGGTTTGCCTGGATTTTGCGAGTCAACTATTGCACGATTCTTGCAAGACCAGGGTGAAATAGTGGGGTGTGTGAGGGGTCTCTGCCAGCTCATGACCTGGGCTGCATTTACTGTTTCCCTTCCGTTGTTTCCGGGATATTGCGTGCGAGAGAAGACTCATTAGCCAGCTACGCCCATGGTGGTGGTGGGTTCAAGGTGGACCCGTGTGCTTCGCTGAACAGTTTTATTTGTTTATCTGCTGGCCTGCTTTGACTGAATTATTGAGCACAGGATATGCCCGGGTAATAACCTACAGTTTGCTACTGTGCACCAACTTGTCAGCTTTAGTACTTTAGAAATCTCTGCTTTGAGTGTGTTCACATTAGAGCTATTAAAACTTTTGCACTACGACTAACTGGTACTTTCTGTGCTAAATATCAATGGCAGACTGGTACTGCTGACCTGTTTAAAGTCCACACTCATAAGGGCAAGCTCACAACACTCGCTTTCGAGGACAGCACATCGTTTCCCCAATCCTCCTCCTCCAGATCTTCGTCATCCAGAGCAACCGGATTCAGCGCCAGCGACCCCCGAGGCACAAACGAGGAAACAAGTACCAGCAAGGATATCACACTCAGCTGCACACTGGCCACATTCCGAATAGCTAGATGGATGTCACCCCCTCCAACTGGACCTCCGGTCTCCACATACACCCGGTCAATGTAACTTCCCAGCAGCGGAGAGGTAATAGCGTACAGCACGATATAAGTGGAATACAAGAACGCCATGACAGCCCCGAGCGCAGAAACATTTTTCGACGTTGACTCCATTCGTGTCAGCGTTGCCTGGATATACGCCGCCAGCGAGACATCACCAGCCGCCCAGCCAAAAGAAACAGGAACAAAGCTGAGGGCAGCGAACAAAGCATCTCGGACCCGATGCACTGGGGGATTCCAGAATGGCAGATACCATGTGATGAGAAGCATGAGCGCATCGACTCGCAGCCAAGGCATGGGGGTGCGCACGCGGTTATTGAGGAAGATAACAAACAATGCGCCAAACAGTTCTCCCAAGTTGGACCCTCCCACCATAATCTGTGACCATGCAGCGTTGCCTAAATAGCGACGCGCAAGTGCTGGCATGACTGCGCTCTCGAGGTAACGATGAGCATAAAGAGCAATCGAATACCCGGGCAGCAACCAAATAAATTTGCGTGTGGTGAAGATGATCCGCGCACCCACCCAGATGGATTCTAGAAAGAGCTTGATTCCTCTCAGCGCTGCTCGGATATATGTTGTCTGGTCAGGGGTTTCTGCCGCTTTGTGAGCTTTGAACACATCATCGCCAAGGAAGGACCAGGCAATAGCTGCGAGTGTAAAACAGATGGGTGTCACGAGGAAAGAATAATTATTCCCCAGACGAGGAATCAGGGCCAGTGCAGTGCAGAATGCGCCAGCGGTACCTGATACCTCGTAGAAAATGTGAACCAGAGCGTCCAGGCGTCGTAGTCTCTTTAGGTTTCCGCCAACAATGTCCCTGGGAATGATGCGGCGGATGAGCTCGACCATTCCATAACTGAAGCCACTCACGCAGTAAATAGGGATGATACTGTCCGTGTTGTAACGACCATAGTAATGGAAGTCATTCTGTGGGTGGTGAGGACGGAAGGTAGCCGGGACAAAGGTGCCACCGGTACAAGCATCTATGATCAGAAGGATGGCGCTGAAGATGCCAAAGACCAACATGGCTGCCATTAGAATCAACCGAGCTGGATAGCGACGAATCAGAGGAGCCATGAGTATCGATCCAACACACTGGCAAGCTTGATTGAGGCCGACCATGAGCCCGACGCGTTGGAAGGTCTTGGGAGGCATGTTGGCGCGAAGGGCATCATAATCGTAGCGGTTGGTGGCGAGTGTGATAATCGATCCATTGAACGCCTCCAGACCAAACTTGTAAAGTATGATGCCTAGAATGTAGCAGGCAGCTTCGCGCCGTTCTTTGGGCGTGAAGTCATTCCAGCCGTTGCGAACGCTTTTGAACAGCCCCATTGTGTGGGGATGATCTGCCGTCACAAATCTGAGAAAGAGACAAGAACTGAACAGCGTAGAGTCACCACAATATATGGAGCTAAACAGGATATTCTGCGAAGTGAACTGCGATGTTTACATGAATCTGCACGGTCAGGGAATAAAGAGTAGAGACGCTCTGGCGTGCCATGTTGATGAAGTTCAGTTGGGAATTCCTACGCAGGGACTAAGTACACTACGTTATGGGTGGTAGAGTTGGAGTGAATTGATCCCAAGATTGAATCTGGAATGAGGGTAGTTTGGTGTGAAGGAGCCATGACAAGTGAATGGAAGCTGAAGCTGACAGAGATTCTAGAACTAGTGAGCCTGAGGCAGCGAGGCCAGCACATGCATACACATAGCACACGTCTATCAAGGCCTGAGGATCTGTCATATCGACTGTTCTCTGCTGTGGCAGGAAAACTCATGTCGCAATACCTGACTGATGTACTGCAACAGACAGATGCATTGTCATTATGTATCCGGCTACTACCCACCAGGCTGCACAGCTTATTAGACTTGACTTATAGTTGTACCCCAGTCCGGGAGCCAGTCCGGGGCAATTGGAATGATTGGACCGCCATTGCGGGCGATTGTCCAGCTGAGCAGCGACCGAGACCCACCTGGATGTCTTGCGCTGGACGTTGAAAAGAAAGACAAAATGCATCCGATGACGACATTTTGGTCATCCTGTGCGCTCGGAGCGCTTTCTGAAGCCAATCTTTGTATCGCCTTTTGGGCCTCACCTCCCCTGACCGTCTCTACAATCCTGGTTGCCCGGTCTGGTTTGCAACACCAAGCTTAGGCCTACCCCACCCTACAAAGTCCGCTGCAGCATTAACCTGGTTGCTGCTTGCAAGCCAGTTGTCGTTGATTCCAGAATGACATATCAGATGATGAGCTACTGGCGCGCCCGATGATCCCTTGGAAGGATCGCCTCGTGAAATAGACCTCACCAAAGCAACAAAGCAACAAAGCAACAAACGGTCAGTCAATGGGTGAAACACGCCAGAAGTCGGCGAAAGAAAGCCACAAAATGCAGCCAAAAAAAGGGGGGAGTATGGGTGAAGAAGTAGAAAGAGAATTCTTATCTCACGGAGAATTGGAATTGGGTATTTGTGTCACCACGTCGTGCGTGCTTGCTTCTTACATGGTGTCGACATACAGACGGACCGTCTCGTGCTTGGCAGCTAGGCAGGCCACGTGCATCCCCGACCGCATGTGTTTCGCCTCCCCCAAAAGATGAGAAAAAGATGGGAATGCTCAGCCATCGCCCATTTTCACGGTTCCGGAGGAGTTGAAAGTTTCCTAGTCCAACCACTCCCAGGTAGCTTATTTCGTCACTATTTTACATTTTACGAAAAATTAAGAATTAGCTATCTCCCTTAGTGAAGCGGCCTGAGTCAAACAGCTATGCGCTGGTGGTTTGGAGACCTCCCATGTGAGCCCATGCATGTCCGGCTTGTCGATCGGGGAGTTTAAATCTGGTCAATTTCGAGCCAGCGAGGATGCCCATTGGGAGACGCCAGAGGTACTTTGTCTTACCGCGGGTGTGGGGTGGAGCAGTGAGGTACCCATCCGGTACCGCTGCGGTGCAATCAAAGAATGACATTGAATTGACACCCCGTTCTCAGCTTAGCAGCAACCACAACTGACTTGAACTAACCTAAAAAAAAAACTAAAATGGAGGGTGGTTCTTATCGGGAATCGCCTTCGAATCTTTTCCCCCCCCAAATCCTAAAAATCTCAAAACGCCATCGTCCACTCAGCCGCGTGATCCCCCGCCCACCATCCTCACCGACTGATTCGACGCTGTGTTTCTTTTTATCATTCATATCATTGTTTGTTTGGGCTTTCTCCCTTTTTTTTTATTCCTTCCTTTCTTCCCTAGCTCTTCGTGCACCTTGAGGATATATATGGCTTCCTTCCTCCCCCACCATGTTGCCTGCTGAGCCTGCGCAGTTGCCGGTTCTGCTTTTCCGTCGCAGGCCGTGATCGTGTTTAGTCGCTTCGAGGTGTGGAGATACTATATCATTCTCGGGTTGCTTGACCATCGTTCGATCAACAAGTGGCCTGTTCAGTCTTTCTGCTCTCTTTGTGTGTACATTATTTCGTCTGTGTGGTTAGAAATCCACAACGCATGTTCGTGCTACCCTTAAAATATCCTCTCCTCTACCCTCCCAAGCTATCGCCAGGGTCCTAGCTAACTAGACGCTACTTGCAGATACTAGCTTCGATTTACCAATTGCGGGACCCCTTCCCCGAACCGTTGCTTTGATTCCACTGCAATGGCGACCGGAGAAGAGCCTGCCACGGCGTCCCCCGCACAGCAGTCGAACCCAGCTAGAAGCTGGTGGAAACGGCTGCGGGGGTCTAATGCCCCTGAAACGCCCGCCATTACCACGGGTCAAAGCCCTTATCGCCCCAAAAGGACTCTGGGTATTCTAAGTGACAAGGAGACGGATGAAGTGCCTGGTATGTTGCAGCTGTAGGAACAATAATCGGCCTTTGAGTATGATCTTGCTGACATTCACATGCGAATTTAGGGACCGTTCTTCTACTCTCGTCAAATCGCAATGAGCCTCTCGGTCTGGAACATCAACCGCACCGCGAATCGCATTCGTCGCTGCCATCGCCTTATCCACCGTCCCGTTCCTCTTCTCGTGCTTCCCGTGCCTCTCGTGTGCGCCAGCAGAAAAAGAAAACCCCGGATGGCAACATAGTTTTGGATCCTCAACCCGATGACTCCATGAACGATCCTCTCAATTGGCCTGTATGGCGACGAGATGCAGCTCTGGTGTCGTTGGGGTTCTATTGCCTGATGGGAGGCGGTATGACTCCAATTCTAGCTGCCGGTTTCAGTCAAGTAGCTTCTGCCTATGATGTGACCACCCAGAAGGTCGCATATACGACGGGGTTGTACATGTTGGGTCTGGGGATTGGGTCCGTGATCATGTCTCCTACAGCTATTCTGTACGGAAAGCGGCCGGTGTACCTTCTCGGAGCGACCCTCTTCATTATTTCGGCAGTCTGGTGTGCACTGTCACCCAACTACCCCAGCTTGGTCATCGCTCGTATCTTCCAGGGCATTGCAGTAAGCCCGGTCGAGTGCCTCCCCTCTGCCACTATTGCCGAGATCTACTTCCTGCACGAACGGGCTTACCGGGTCGGTATATATACCCTCCTGCTCCTAGGAGGCAAGAACTTGATTCCCCTAGTGAGTGCAGCTATCATCGGGAGTCTGGGGTGGCGCTGGGTTTTCTGGATTGTTGCTATCGTCGTTGGCGCTTGCCTCGCCCTTCTTTTCTTCTTTGTCCCCGAGACATTCTGGGATCGCACACCTCGGCCACGAAAGGCTCACAAGCGTCCCAGCTTTTACCGTAGCGTGTCGAACATTGTGTCCCATGGATTGCGCGGTCGACCGCCTCACGCTCATCGCCTAGAGGAGAATCCGCCGGATGATGACCCCAGCTCTCTAGAGCCGAAGAAGTCCAAGAAGGGTCATGTTGGATTTGTGGATGACCATGACGAGGAACCAGAGACCATCTCCGAGAAGATAGAGGAGCCGGCTGGCCAGGATCCTATATCGTTAACACCAGAGCGTCCTGCCACTGAGTCGACGCCAAGCGAAGACCCTGAGAAGGCGGATGGGCTCCTTCATCCTCCGCCATTGGCACACATTCACCCCCATGATCTAGAAGCTGCTCGGGAAGCGGCGATCTCCCCAACTCGCAGTGAGTCGCTGGACCCGGGTCCGCCGATCACGTCGGCGGCTCAGTACACCAACCGACTCCGGGATCAGCCGCCCATCCCGTTTTCTTACTATCTTCGCCCGTGGAATGGTCGGATTGCTCACGACAACTGGCTACGCGTCGCGGTGCGGCCATTCATACTCTTTGCATATCCCTCTGTGCTGTGGTCGACCGTGGTGTATGCTTTGTCTGTCGGCTGGCTCATCGTGCTGTCCGAGTCGGTTGCTACAATTTATGAGCAGCGAGACACTTACAATTTTACCGCACTGCAGACTGGTCTTATCTACATCTCGCCCTTCGTGGGCGGCTTGCTGGGTACCGCTGTTGCTGGTAAGGTGTCTGACATAATTGTGCAATATATGACACGACGCAACGGGGGCGTCTACGAGCCGGAGTTCCGGCTGGTGATGGCGATTCCCATTGCCATTTCGACCACCATTGGACTGATGGGATTCGGTTGGAGTGCGCAGGAGAAGGATGCCTGGATTGTGCCCACCATCTTCTTCGGGATCATCTCATTTGGATGCTGCCTGGGAAGCACAACATCCATCACCTTTTGCGTCGACAGCTACCGCCAATATGCAGGGGAGGCACTGGTGACATTGAACTGGAGTAAGAGTAAGTTGCACCAAACATAGCATTCCCAAGTGATGTGGATCCGCAAACTAACGATGGATGCAGATGTCTTCCATGGGCTGATCTTTTCGCTGTTCATTGTTGACTGGCTGGATGCGGAGGGCTCCCGGTTGGTGTTTATCGCGCTGGGAGTGATCCAGCTGGGCTGTCTATTGTTTTCGATTCCCATGTACATTTATGGCAAACGGGCCCGGATGTGGACGGTTCGGATGCGCCTGATGGAACGATTCTAGAGGGCCGAGTGGCCGGGCCGGGACCCTATTGGAGGGACGGATCGGATGATTCTTGATTTTGGGTGTAGATCTGGGCTGTATCATGATACCTATCTATATTAGATCGTACATATAGTTGACTATTTGCTGACGATTGGAGCTGTCATATCGCCATCGAGCCCCATTCGACTGTGGGAGCAAGCCCTGCGGGGGTGCTGGGGCTGATGTCAAGGGAGGGAGAGAGGGCGGAATGTCATACAGCATCCACAATGAGTAATTGTGCCCTGCAAGTCATCTCTTTCATGAATATGAAGAGTGGTGTGAGTGTGTGTGTGCATATGTCCCGGGCCACCCACACAGCCACCCCTACACATCCCAACAGTCACCAAATTAATTTCAATTAATATCCCGTCCCCATCCCAAAGTAAGGATCTCAAGTACCCATCCACAGTATCTAAACCCGGTTAAGCAAGCCACAAATCTCCCCGCCCAATCCGGATTCTAGACCGCTTAGTCACCGCCATTGCATGGCCCCGCCAGTTGAATGGCGGCTGAACGGGCACCAGCTGCAGCCCATGTCGATCATGATGCGCCCCACGACGTCAGAGAGCAGATGGGGCCTTACTAGTGACAGCCTTATTCAATTTGCCATCTCATTAGTGTGTCGATGTGCTGCAGCGGCTGAGCAAATCCGCACAAGATAGATAGCCTGATAGACAGGAAGTAGTACCTCGACACCTGAGGAATGGACCAATGCGGGCCAGACTGGCCCCTGACTGGTGGCTTGCCAGCCCGGAAACGGGGATTTAGAACCAATCAGGATCCACAACAGACCCCTTGACCAACTGAATTGAGTCTAGCGCCAAACAGCAAAACCGGTATTGTGATGTAGTGACTGGCCAATCACGAATGGAATTCAACAGGCTGAAATCAATCTGAAATGTGTTTTGAATCACGGCGCGGAAGGGAGACCCTCGGTTACGGGATTACTTGGAACCAAAGGAACGCAAGCAAAGCAAGTTGTATGATTAGACAATTCGATACTTTGGGTACCTGGTGGAGTTGGCATCCCGATCACTGGAGGTCCCACGCCATCCCATTCGTCGGGGCATTCGTCCATCATTCTGATCCAGTCTGCCAATACCTTCTTTTTCGCTTGCCACCTTTTACTCTTTTGTCGGTTGCCACGGGATGACTCCCAGGTACTGAGCACTGACTGACGACGCAACCCCCAAAAACGTAGTTGAATTTGTGCCTGTCTGCCGTGGAATAAGCGTGGGCCGGAAATCCGACTTCCCACGGCTGCCATCTACACGCACTTTCGCCCTCTTCCTGCACGCAGTCCTTGATATTAAACAGCTCGCTTTCCAACCTTGTTTCAGAGCTTTCTTCTCTCTTTTTCTTCCCTTTCCCCTTCGCTTGCTTTTTCCTCTTGCTGCTGCTGCTTCTTCCTGATCTCTCTTCATCCTTTCTCTCTCTCTCCCTTCCATCAGCAGTTCTTTCTCCCTTCCTTCCTCTCAGCCCCCGCCAGCATTTTTTTGCCACACTCTATTTCAATCGGGCCAGCCACCATCTACTAGTCCCCACCCAGGCCAGGATGGATGCGTAAGGCAATCGACGCCATCGCTTGAACTACTCCCCTTCTAAACTTGA